CTTTCTAAAACTTGATTTAAATCACTGCAAACTTACCACGTGTCCCGCACCCGGATTTCACGTTTGCACGAAACCATGGTCGGATTTGACACAAAATTTCGTTTTATTTCAGCAAATTCACGTTCAACTTTCGATATCTTGCTTTGGGAACGTGTCCTCCTATCATTTCGATAGTTTATTTTGATAAGTTTAAACATTATTCGCTTTAAAAAGTCTTCAAAACGTACTAGAAGAGAGCTTCGCTCATAATTTTACTACTTTGTGAAATTCAAAATTTCGAGCCTAAAACTGATCTCGCTATATCACTGAACAATAAAATGTAGTTTGGAAGTGGAGCATTTGAACAATAACGGCGCCATCTTAAAATCGCAATGAATGCTGGTCTATTTACGGTATATTGCTATTCAGCTTATTTTGGAATGTTCAAAGTACTTACTGTAATAGCAATTTTTTTAAAAAACCCAAACAAATCGTGCTAGAAACTTCAATTGTTTAAAATGAAAAATCCTCCTAAAATTTGCAGGTACGGTGACACGGCCCCTCGATCAGTACCAGCGCGGCTGTACAGTATATTATGGATGATTATCGGTATGATTGCTTTCTCTGTTCTGACGGCGAATATCACCAGTTCTTTGTCACAGAAAACGTTTGATTCTGAAGAAAAATTATTTGGAAAACGGGTAAGGAATTAACATGCTGGATGAATAAGAGATGATCCTTACTGGACATCTAGGGAGAACAGTTTAGAACTGATAGAGCTATCCAGTACAAATAAGTTTAGTTAAGGTTTCCGCCTGTAGTAACATTGGATCAATAAGAGATGATCCTTACTGGACCTCTAGGAAGAACAGTTTAGAACTGACAGAGCTATCAAGTATAAAAGAAATTAGTTTAGTGTAGGTTTCCTGCTGTAATAACACTGGATCAATAAGAGATGACCCGTACTGTACCTCTAGGAAGAACAGATTAGAACTGACAGAGCTATCCAACATAAAGATAGTTTAGTTTAGGTTTCCTCCTGCAGTAACACTGTAACAATTTCCACATATAGGTTGGCGTGCTTGAAGGTACAATGGACGCTAAGGCTGCGCTAATGGAAAATGCACATGTTATAAGTAAG